TTTCAAGCGGGGAATACGATGTTTCAAGCGGGGAATACCATTTTTCAAGCGGGGAATACCATGTTACAAGCGGGGAATACCATGTTTCAAGCGGGGAATACTATGTTTCAAGCGGGGAATACCATGTTTGAAACGTGAGACTGTCATGTTTCAAGCGGGGAATACGATGTTTCAAGCGGGGAATACCATGTTTCAAGCGGGGAGTACAATGATTCAAGCGGGGAATACCATGTTACAAGCGGGGAATACCATGTTTGAAACGTGAGACTGTCATGTTTCAAGCGGGGAATACCATGTTACAAGCGGGGAATACTACAGTATGTTTCAAGCGGGGAATACCATGTAGCTATCTTGATAATTGCTATCACCATCAACGAAGAAGACAGGGATGGCTTGTACTAGATTGGCTTTCTGCTGTATTATCGCTAGTCTTTCTTGCCAAATTCTAGTGGTGAATATGTATTCGAAAGAAAATACTAGATCCATTAGTCATAACTATAGTTCGTCGTGACTGAAGTCAGAAATATATACAGCTCGGTGTCTTATTACAAAGTTAATGGTCGTGCGGATACATGTACTTCTTGAAATCCTTATGGAGCATTTCCAAAGCAAAGGTGAAGCTCAGGCTACTCATTTGTGGTGCTGTCCCCAGATATTCCATCATAAACGCCTTCAATGGAAGTGGCTTTGGATCTGGAAGAGATGCAAACAGTGTCAAGCCTGCAACGCAATGCTGAAATGCAACCTCTCTCACATGGTGCTAGGATGAAAGCCGTGTCAGAGTTGGAGAAGACATCTGGGTTCTGTCGCGCGTAACTTTCAGCAAACTTTTCCATGATTCAATCAATCTTTTGAGCTTCACCTGGTAATCGAAAGCCTAACAAGAACAATCGAATGGCTTCGTCGAAGAGCATATCTGAAAAATCAGAGGAAAGTGCTTCAGTCACTGAATCAATCCTTGTTCGTTTGACATTCCCTATTTCACACTCCCCGCTTCAAACATGACAGTCTCACGTTTCAAACATGGTATTCCCCGCTTCAAACATGGTATTACCCGCTTGAAACATGGTATCCCCTGCTTGAAACATGGTATTCCCGGCTTGAAACATGGTAATCCCGTCAAACATGACAATCTCACGTTTCCACCATGGTAATCCCCGCTTCAAATATCTCCTGTTTCAAACGGTTTTCGACAACAGCAAAAGCAACAGTAACAACAACAACAACAACAACAACAACACCAAGCGTCTCAGATCAACAACATATATTCCAAGAGGCTGATTGTTGATAGTGGGGAACTGTATATGGACTATAACATCCCAACGAAACATCTGCGAAACTTCACTCTGACAGGTACAGTAACAGCATTTGCATCACTACCACTCGAACTCAACGTTGAATCGGTCCCTCAGCCTGCATTCTGTCTGTGCCCTGCGTGTATCCACTCCAAATATCTAGAGCTGGCTGATTGTTGATAGTGGGGAACTGTATATGGACTATTAACTTCCCAACGACATCAGAGAGACCAAAACGGTATGCAAAAATTCCTTCAATTTATTTTAAGCAGCTCTAGTGTTTTGCATGAATTTGCTGGTTACCTTCGAACGGGGGGAGTTTGCAGGCAGAGCTTGCAACTGGATTATGCAAGGGTTGCATTGTCCTTTCAAATGGCATAGTTTTAGCTCAGATTTGACATTCAAATGTGATTTGAACATTCAGTAAACAAATTCAGATGGTGACGTCAAGATTGCAATTGATGGTTACCGTCATCATTGTGACTACAACGTTCAGAGAACAATTTCAGATGGTGGCGTCAAGATTTCTATCCATATTTTTCTTCCCCGTCACATTCCCCAACAAATTGAATTTATATTTTGCAATGTAATGCAACACTTCTTTCATAATAATAAAAATCAAAATTCTTTGCATTATTAGACCCTATACAATTATGGACTTGTGTTGTTGTTTTGCATGCTTGTTAACAATTGGGACAGATGAGAAATAACTTCAACTTTTAAACGCTGCTCTCAACTGTTAGACTATGTTCTTGGAAATTATATCTGAATACAAATTCTCCAAGTAGGCGGTCCAAAATGTACATTTTTGCCTGGAAAGTAAATTGGAAAGTAAATGTATTCATGGTACTAGTATATGAAAGAACTATTTCACTGTTTCAACTAGACAACTCCAATTGATTCTTCACCATCTGCACGAAAGAAGTCAAAGTTCGGAACTGCAGCTCTACCAATGCTCGGCACCACCTCTACCCTCTGAGATCAGCACGGATCCGTTGCTCCAACCAATCGTTTTATTGAGAAAAGAGGCTATTGAGCTGGATTGCAGGTTGAAACCAGGCAGCCAAATGGCATTTAACGCCAAAGCTCTCGTCTTTGATACTTTATCAAATTTCTTCCCATGTACTATTACAGCCTTGCCAAGGACCTACAAGAATGAAACTTAGGTGGTATCTCCATTCTCCTGTGAAGGTATTCCAATCAACGACATTACTCTTGGATTTGGTGGGCCTGGCGCTCTCATCCTTCCACACCTTCAGCTTCTGTATTTAAATTTGAATACTGTATTAGTATTTGAGAGCAGATTTGGTTAGCAAAGAAAAATGCCTTGTTGGACCCCAATGTGTCACTCACTTGTCACCGCCAACTTCATGTTGTTCCTTCACGTATGACGTTACTGGTTCAAGGCTTTATTATACCTTCTTCCCACTCTCTTGCTTGCCACCATCCCACCAGAAAAAATATCCCCCGGAACGTTACTACCCATCCTACTCCTAATAACAAGCTCATTGAAAATCCCTCGTATGCATTGAGTTGATGTTGACGATGGGTAATGATCGGCTGATGTAAGAACAAAAGTTTAGTGACATATCTTTTACAGGTTGAATGCCAAACTTCATATCTCCTCAGGGTCTATTGAAGGGCATCTTCAACAACTTCCAGATTTGAGGAGCATCTCCAAGGTCACTGGGAGGTGCGTCCATATATTTCAATTTATGACAGCATTTGTCAATTCATGGAGGAGAGTTTACCGCCAATTTCAGAAGGTCACTCCACATTCCCTCCCAGTTACCTAAGCTTATTGTCCCCAACGGATTTGGCTCATGTCGCATGCCAATTCATTGTACGTGCTTTACACAAGCATATGCTATTTTATTATGGTGCATTGCAACGGTAGACTGCACAGTAGGACTATACGGGATCCAAACAAATTGCCCAGTGTGTTTGCTATTTTATTTTGGCGCTTCGAAGACCAACTTGGTGTTGCGGGTGTGGCTTTCGAAAATGGCGCGAACCTTTTTACTTAAGACAGTTTGTATACAACCATTTTCGAAAAATTTCAGCAACGGACAGACACAGTGGTAACACAGGACCAGTCCCATCACAGCAGTCGTGGGGTCGATTCCTTCTGTTTGAATAGTTGGATTGCGAGCATGCCAGAAAATCTGAACTTGGCCAAGTTCAGATTTTCTGGCATCCTCTGTAGTAGGTATATAACCGTTATTTGTCATGCATGCTTATACTCACTTAAAGACTTTCGGAAAACAGAACATTGAAGTACAGTAAAAGTTTCATCGTGAACGGAGCTCTGAAATATTCAAACTGTAACTCGGCGCGGCGGGACAGGAATCCGCCCGACCCTCCCTGTCCCTCTTGGTCCGTCCTTCCTACCTCCGAACCGCCAGCGCGTTATTCTCCGCGTCCCCGAAGACGGGTCATCGCGGCGCGCCCGCCGTCCTCATTCCGCTTCCCCCCTCTCCGAGCCGAGAGGAACAGCATCAGAATTCACTTAACAACCTCCCTCTTTTTGGCATTCGTACTTAACGGCCTACCTCATCTTTGGATTCGTACTTAGCAACCCACCTCCTCCTCGGATCTCTACTTAACAGCCTACCTCATCTTGGGATCCCTACATAACGACCCGCCTCATCTTTGGATCCCTACTTACAACCTCCCTCCATCTTTGGACCCGTATTTAACGAAACCACAAAATTCCTTCCGACCGACCGAAGTCCGACCAACCGATGCATGCACATCGAGCATCCCAACATCCTCACAAGAACCCAAGACGACATGCAGCAGTCAGGACAGCGCCCTCCCTCAGCATCTGCACGGGCCCAGTTTCCTCACCACCAGAGATATGGCCGCCACACCAGTACGAATCGCCATGTAACACGACTGCTGATCTGGAACGTAGGCTGTTGAAATTGGCCAACGCCAACAACTGGATGTATCTATTGCGATTAAAATTGTTGGTGACGAGACCAGAACTACGCAAGCTTGACCTGGGCTTATTCCTCGACATGCAACTCCATTTTCTATCTGAAGTGAGTGCAATGAAACGTTTTGGAAGGTGGTGGCTTCGGCAGAGGACTAAGTTCCTGAAAGGTAGAGGCACTGACGCCCAATGCGATATTGCCATTGCAATAGATGATCTACGCACGCAGGGGAAGTGCTCGGGTAAAGTGGCTCGGCCAGATCTGATTCACACCAGTCCTCCAATAGTGAAAGGCTCTGATCAGTTTGATGGCCCCGGCTTAGTGTGTCATCATTGTGGCCAACAGTTCCCGTCAGATCAATTGACTAAACGAGCCCTCTTGAAGATGAAGATCAATGCGCCATCCTACGCATGTATCAACTGCATTTCAATCCATGTGACAATGTGCAAGAAGGAAAAGGCTGATGGTTATTTGAACAAGCGTCTAGCGAAGACAAAAATAGAAGAGGACCTCAAGTGCCAAGCACGCAAAACTGTCGACATGGAAGCAATGCTTGAGGAGCTCAATGTTCCGATTCACACCATTGGTCCAACGTGCATTGAGCAAATAGAGCTATGCAAACCAATGACACTTGTCACATATAGGCTACCAGTATGTGCAAATCCCGAAGATCCAATTGGTAAGCAAAAGATATCATTCTTGATAAATTGAATTGCCTTCAACAACTAACAATGAATTGAAACTTTAGATGGTGCATCATTGTCCCCTTTGGCTTTCCTGGATTGCCATTGGCCTGAGAAGAGGGCAAGTAATCACGGTCGCGTTCTTAATCTGGAGAACGAACAAGATGGCACAGAAATCCTAGTCCTGTTTGAATCAGCACTTGACAGTAAAAGAAAAGAAGAAGAGGACTTCATTCTTCTATTGTCCCATGCACCAGCCCCCCCTTCAGCCTCCATGCATTTTCCAAGTCGGAAACAGAGCATATTGTTATGCAAATGAAAGGACCCAGAGCTGGGGCTGCATCGGGGTACACTCTCCCAGGTGTGGAAAGTAGCCAGCTATCAAAGTGCACTAAAAAGGGGTGTGTCATTTTCCCCCTGGTTCAAAGTCCTGGTGGAGGTGTGATTTACCATGGCAGCCATGGTCGACCAGTGTGCTTCAATGGTGTCTACCCAAAAATGGACATGAGACGAATGAATAAGAATCAAAGGGAACAGGAGATCAATGGTGATCGCTCCCAACAGGATGTGATTCTGTCAGAGATGATTTGTCGGATCAGGTCTATTTGTGTGGCTTATAAGTATGTGAGCCAGAAGCGATACAGGTCAGCCTTGCAGACTTGGAAGAAGACTTTAAGAAGAGCCATCAAGTGGCAGTCCAAAAGAAGGGATGGTTGCAAGCAGAAAGGGTGGTTCCATGACATGATGGAGAAATTCGTCTCCATTCAAGGGCATTCAATCCTTGGAGCATCTCTTCTTATTGTTGCTGGGACCACTGGAGCAATGAAGAACCACCAAGCAACAGCAGTGCACAAAGATGGAAACACCAGCCATGTTGTTGAAACTTTGGCTTACTACTCCCGTATCAAGGTAAATGAAATGGAGTGTCCCAGCAATTTTCCCAACAGTGAACCCTTCGCATATATGTTCCTGCCTGACTACTGTGCTGCCCTGGCACTTCGCCCTTGTCTTCATCTGATGAATTGCAGCTTGAAGAGTATTCGACATGTGGCAGATTATTCAAGGAACCATTTGAACTGGTCCTGTGCATATGGTCCTAAATAGGATAACTAACTGCATGCTCTTATTGGTGCAACAACTTGTACTAGGCAGAAGCTGGAATGTTTTGGTGTAATAGGAATTATTTTGTTTTGAATTGTCTAACAACTAGTCGTTATAGTATTTTGTGTAGGTTTAGTACTGCAGCAATTTGATAATAGTAATAACGAGTTGTTATAGAAACTAACCTATAACGACTTGTTATTGAATCTAACCTATAACGACTCTTTATGGCTCAAATGTGATGGTCCAACACTATAATAGTACTGTTTTAAATAATGACTCGTTATCAGTTCAGCACTAATTCAGCACAACTCATTGTGACTGCAGCATTCGTTGACGTTTCATTCCATCGTCATGTCCAACAAACCACCAGCAAATGGTGAAGTTTTCACAACTGTGGAAAACCGCCAGATGAATTTGAACAGTAGTAGCGGCAAGGACGTTTTTTCAAGATCCAAGGCATTGCTGGAACAAAATGAAGGGAAAACAATTGGAAAAGATCCTGTGACTAGAGAGGACAGAAAAAATGAACGTGATGCAACTCGAAAGCGAGCTCTTTCAAACATGGAAAAAGAAAAAGCTCTTTCAAACACTGAAGAAGAAAAGGAGTCGAAGAAGCCCAGACCAGAAAATGGTTCAAACGAGTCCAGGCATTGTCTTCCCTTTGATTTCCACCACGTCCTCAAGGCTATGCAAGCTCTGACTCCTGTAGGTGAGACTCCTGTAGATGAGACTCTACCAAAACAAAAGGACAACACGACCACAGCTGATGTTGCCACTACTGAAATTGAGACTCCAACACAAAATGACAACACAGCCAGAGCTGATGTTGCCACCACTAGTATTGAGACTTCAACACAAAACGACAACATAACAACTCCTGTCGATGAGACTCTACCAAAACAAAAGGACGACACAACCACAGCTGATGTTGCTACTACTGAAATTGAGACTCCACCAAAACAAAAGGAAGACACAACTGAAATTGAGACTCCAACACAAAATGAGAACACAACAACAGCTGATGTGGTGGACACTAATGATGCCATGACTACAACATCACGAAAGTATATCTTGGAACAGACATGGATGCCTAAGGAAATCTGTTTCATTGTGGTATGTGACAAGTGTGAAACAAAGCTTGTTGGAACAAACAAGAAGAAATGCTACTTACGGGGTGAAGGTGTGCTTCGGTTCTTTCAGAAATGCCACAGAAAGCGCAATGTACTTGCATCATGTTCTGTCTCTGATTATCTTGGTGACGTTGCTGGTGATGAAATTTATGCCAGATATGGCATCTATGAGAAACCAAAGGCAAAAAATAAGGAGAAGGTGTACGTGGTGACGGCCTCAAATGCATTTGTAGGTAACCTTCACAAAGAGGCTACCATGAAAATTCGCAATCACTACTTGGAGGCACACAAACATGCAGCCTATCCGCCCAGCTGTATTCGTACATCTGTTCCTCGTATGACAGAAGCTGTAGACTTTTGGAATAACACAGCTTTTGACCAGAATCCAATCAAGAAATCCAAATTTCAACAGGAGTACTTGAAGGTAGAGGGATGCAGGTTGAAGCACAACCAGATGAGACTAAAACCGATGACCATTGAGGAACTTGATGTGGGTTGGCGTGAGATTATTGAAATTTACAGCCAAAGTTTGGAAGAGAAGAATCCTTGCAATCACAACTAAAAATAGATTTAACATTTATATGTACTTTGAATGTCTTTGAGTTTCTGTTGTAGGTCTATGTGAAGAAACAATTTGGAACCAATAACAAGTCGTTATAACAGAAATGGACAATAACGAGTTGTTATAAAAGGAATAAACAATAACGAATCGTTATAAATACAATAAACAATAACGAATCGTTATAGAAGTAATAACACTAACAATTTGTTATAATGGTAACGGGAAATCATTTTGCTACTGCTACAGCCCTAGTGCTGGCTACACTAACAATGGTGCTACCAGTTGTTATTGGTTTACTCTATATCTGCCTCCATAAGATCATGTTTCCTCTTTTTTGCTCCAGCAGGATTGTTGCCACGGGCATTGAAAAACTGAACAACAGTGTCAGGTGTGTCTGGAGGGAATGGTCTCTCTATGTAATTGCCTTTATCATAAAGGCAGATGCCATGCTGTTTTGAATTTGTGACCATTCGACTCCTTGTAGGTTCCTTTCCAAGCTCATTGCTGGCCATGATACTACTCATCGCTTCCTTGGCAAGCACATCTAGATCATCGTCTTGGTCCGGATACTTCTCAAGACTCTTCAACATCATGTCAACAACTTTTTTGCAACTGGAAAAGGAGTTTCTGCTCTTGATTTGCGCCCCTTTCTCCATATTGTAAAACGCAACAGCCAACTGGTTCTGGAACCATGCCTTGAAAATGATGACACATGACACTGAGCCCTTGTATCTGTTCTTGAAAACAACATCAAATTCAATATTTGTGTTCCTTGTCTGTTGCCCAGGCCAAGGCACTGGTACTACCTCTTGTGCACCTTCCAATTCGACAGGAGTAAATGCTGCCACTGCTGCTGCCACTGCTGTAGGCTGAGCTGTAGTAGGTACCTGTGCCGCCAAGGAAGGTGGTTCACCAATATTGATTGGAATTCCTCTATTTGCAAGTCCATCCAGCAACCTTTGGAGAAGGATGGAGTTTTGTTCCTGCCTGTCAAGTACCAAGGCAACTTTTCTGTGCAATTGCTCCAAATTTTTGTTTAGCTTTGCAACGTCATCATCAACATTATGTAGACCCTGGGAAATATGCAGGGTCGCTGATTTCAACTTGGCCATGTCTTCAATGAGTGGCTTCGAATCAATTTCAAACTCTGGCACATCATGGAGGCTCATCCCATACCAGTTCCTCTGTTTGAACTTGGTTCGTATCTCCTGTTGCCAAGAATCAAACATGTCTCTTGAGACTTTTGCTTGTTGAAGCGCATGCTCAACCAATTGAACAAATATTTGACTTCCTGGTTGGACTTGAGCGTCTTTTAGAAATTGCTCAAAATCTTGATAGAACCGCAGGACACTGAACCCATGTAGGTGCCGCAAATTCCTGTCCATGCTATCATGACAATAGAGAAATCAAGAGTCAGGCTTTGAAGAACAACAAGCACACGCAATGAAACAGAGAGAGAGAAGATGGGACCTTACTGTGTGTGTTGGTTGAAGAAAAGAATGATTGTGAATTCATCAAACTTTTCTCTTTCTTCCGGAGTTGCCAAGTCTGAAAGCTGATTGGAATACCCACCCCAAACCTGATCATTCCACTTGTTTTTCCAGCCCGCAGATGTTTTGGCGGCCTCTACATCATGATGGGAGTCTTTTACGATGTAATCAAAGATAGTATGGACATTTTGGACAGTCCAGCCTGCCCTGAAAATGAAATAAATGGCTCTCAACGTCCGTCCCATTTCGGTGATGATGAACTTTCTTGGAGAATGTGAGCAAAGACCAGGTGTAAACTGATGATAGAGGTAACTTGGAGCACCAGTTACAGCTGCAAGTTTGGCTTTAGCATCTTCCAATTTCCTAAGCACAGATTTGAATCTATCGCCCCACATCTTGGAAACTCCAGAGGAATCGTACTTGTCTTCCTTGTTGGTCTTTAAGGCAGCTTGTGAGGTATGGGGGAATACATATTCGGAGTTGGTTTGAGACAAGCACATGTGGTAGGCTTGGGCAAAAAACCAATCTAGCTCCCAGTTGGTTGCATGGGGGAATATATGCATGAGCTGGTAGGTCCCACCTTGCTTGAAGTTGTTGACTTCATAAGCAGCTGCAAGCCCCCCAGGAGAGCTAGTGGGACAGTCTACACACCTTCCATGCTGGTGCTTTAAGTACCCCATTTCGTTGCCTATAGTAGATGGAAGAGAGTATAGTGTTTCAAATAAAGTGAGCCAATGGATGAAATGAAGGCTCCTGTACATTCGTTCTTACCTCTAGATGCCATGTGGATCAAACCTACACATAGTGCCCAAAACTCGGCAAGGTCCTCTGATCCACAGAACACACAAATGGCGGCTATGGCAATCCAGTCTGATCTCAAGGCCCCGGCTTTGGGCTGGACCAGTGGGATTCCATGCTCTTTACTTCTGTTACTGATAGCCTTCCTCATGGAGATACGGCTCTTGGACAGGTAGGACGTGTCGCCAAAGCATTCCTTCAGTTTGTCCTTGGACAAGAGTGGGTGTAGTTGAGGGTTGTTAAGGGAATAATTCCGATCTGCTGAAACGTAGTTTTGGGCTGTCCCCCACCCTATCTTCCCGTCCCTGCTCTTGCCTTTTGAATCTGCATCTGACAGGTAGTTGCAGAAGGAGCCAATGAGCTCCTCCTTCAAATCCTTGTCCTCAAGGAGGAGATAGAGCTGCTTTTGGTCTTGGGACGAGTAGTCTTTGAGAGAGCTGAGACGATCCCAATACCCAGCCAAGAATATGGAAAAATGGGCAAGAGCTGATTTTGTTTGCATCCTAGTGGAGTGTTTGGCCTTTCCTATGGACAATATAGGGCCAAACTTGTAGTCTGCTTCAGCATCGTCTTGTTTGTTCCTCTGGACATGATCTTCTTTGTCCCCGTTGTCTTGCTCTTCTTGGTGAGATCCATTGATATTCACGTCTCCCATGGCACTTCCATCCATTCTGCCATCTTCGCTTTCGGATGTGGGCCTGCTGGACATGGGGATAGTAGACCAAGAACAACTCTTTCCTATTTTGGAGCCCTTCTTGTTGGCTGTTGTTGTTGTGGTTCCTCGGTATGGAGGCAACGTCAGCAGTAGATGACAGTCATGATGAAATCAGGACGATGCTGGTGGCAAGTGCTGTCATCTGCGGTGGAGACGATGTGTGAATTAAGTTGATCCAGGACTTGTTAATCCAGGAATCCCGTTAGGCTGAGAAGTGGGGGTACTGGTGACCTGGTAGCATTCTACTGGGTCATCTTCTGTCATTTTGAGCCATTTCGGCAGCCCTTTTCGACTGCTATTTTTCTGTGTACAAAATTGAGTGAGGAAAAATCTCCGGTACAACAGGGGAAGCATTACACACCATGTATTGCAGTCAAACAGGACAGAGGAGGTGGGTGCCAGCGGACAGACGTGTGCTTTGGTGGAGAACGTCGTGGCCTCGCGTTGCGGCGGTACTGTGACGTCACATGGAAAAGGACTACCGCCTGTCCCGCTGGAGACTGTTATACTACTGTACGATAAGTTGGAAGTTGCAATACATCCAACTGCGCCATCCTTTCTTTTTGTCTTCACACTTCCTTCAACATGGCAGAAGAAGGAAATTCAGCCCTCAACCTCATTGAGAAGGTGGTTCATGCCTTCTACAGCATGGAAGATAGAATCTTCTGAAGAGAAACTCTCTCGGATCATCAACCTTCCAGACGATCAAGAGATTGTGGCATCACTCTGTGGAATGTCCCTAGGTCATTTTCAAAAGACTCAACTCTCAAGATGTCCTTTTTTCCAACGTACCACTGTGTGTGCTGGTTTTGAAATAGTGGTGAATGAGGAATTGGATCATAATGATGTCGAATGGAACGACTGTGATGCCAGTCTGGGCAAGCAACGGAAGAACCAACGACTGCCTTGTCCTGATTCAAGAACAGCCATTGAAGAAACATATTACTGGGATACTTCACCGCAACCTTGCTGCCTTGTGGCACCTCAAATCCCAAGAGAAGTGGACAAAAAGCTAGAAGGGGTTGAAGCATTTTGGCAACAAGGTGTGCTCCACGGTGTTTACGATTCACAGGCTTCTTGTAGTTCAATGGAATCAGCTTCTTGTCAACAATAAACCGGCGGCTGGAATACATACAACGGGCGTTGGATAGTAATGCAGACCCGCCCGTTGTGGTATTGCCACGCATTTGTTCAGCCAGGAGCAACTTTCCATGTGGAGTCACAAGGAGGAGCAACTTTCCATGTGGAGTCGCAAGGAGGAGCAAGGCGATCCTGCTTCTACAGAGGATCTCCTCGTGAAGCAGATTATGCTCTACTAACTACCATGAAGCAATCGATACTTTTCCACCCTATCGCAAGCCAAGAATGACGTACAAAGTGGTGTTTATGTTTCGACCATTGAATGGTAACCAAAATCCTCAATGGCGACCCTAAACTCCTTTTCCTTGTTTTCACTATCATGTATATTGCATCCAGCCTGTTGGAGATTCGTCAAGTTGACTCCTTGTCTGCCGGAGCCCCGGTCTTGGACCTTTGAGAATGAGTGGCTTTTCTCGCTACCCTTATCTTGCTCGTGTGATTTACGATGCTGCTGGTTCCGTGACTGCTCCTGTCTTTCAGCTGGCTCTCAATCTCAATGGAATTACTGGTGTTCCTATTACTATTAAGAACCTGCAGTTCAACACTATTGTTGAGCAATCCCATGCTGCTATCAAACTGCAAACATCCCTGATAGCAACATCAAGACTGCCTCCAAAGTTATCGACACTGTCCTTGCCTTTGCTCAGCGTGCAATAGGTACCTCTGTCAACAAGTCTCTGGTTGCCTCTCCTGGTTCCATCTTCTTCCATCATGACATGCTACTCAATGTTCCTGCCATTCTTGACTTGGAACAAGCCTCTGACCTTGAGCCGACGCCAAGCTGTTGCAGAACAAGCGCCGCCGTTACAAGAACTACAACATTGGCGATAAAGTTTTGATCCTGGCCCATAAGCCTCACAAAATGATGAGTGCTTGTGCTCCACACTATCACTCAAGTGTATGTTAATGGTACTGCATGTGAGCCCAGCCAATGCTCTGGAGAGTCTTGATCTGGACAAAGATGATGATGTCTTTGTTGTTTTGGGAGGTGATACCATAGTGCATGAACTGCTAAGAGGTATGCAGGTCAGAACTCATCAAGAGACTAATAGGCTTTTCCAGCCCAAACAACTGATGACCCAGGAAATGAACACCGATCATAGAGGGCAAACCAAGTTAGTCTGAGGACCAATCTTAGTGATACCTAAAGTATGACATGATAGTTCATGTGAATCTTTGTTACAACTATTGTATTACATTACCTCAAACTATTTTTAAGTGTTTGGGGCAGCAGTTGATTGAGGAATGGTGTTCTGGACAGTCATCTTCAGTTGCTGTCTTGAATTCCTCTATGCAAGTCTCAGTTGGCTAGGATGGTCAATTCCGTAGTAAGTTTGTGGGTGAGTTGCTTGTATGTATCTATGGATCCTTAGTACCATATAGTTTGTTTTCACAATCTTCTCCTTTGTTCCACTGGTTCATTGTCCAATGGTGTTATGGACAGTCATCTTCAGTCCTTGTCTTGAAACTGTCTGTAAAAGTCTCAGTTGATTACAACAAATTGCTTCAACAGCTACTTACCTGTCAACGTACTGTATACACCCATGGGTCCTTCTAATGTGATTTCTACAATATTCTAAGAGTCTTTACTGCTAATTGGATTGGCGTCTCCGTTGATACAATCATCTGGTTGCTGTGTGAAAGAATGAAGAAAGTTCTTCCTTGTTGGCATAGTAGTCTACACGTCTTCTTCAGATTTCAAAACATCGTGAATGGAATCAGTCCATGGACATACAATCGTCAATAATGGTGGGAGACACTGTGAGCTTGGATTGGCGTCTCTGTTGACACAATCATCTGGTCGCTGTGTGGAAGAATGAAGAAAGTATTTCCTTGTTGGCATAGTAGTCTTCACGTCTTTGTCAGATTTCAAAGCATCGTGTATGGAATTAAGTTATGTCCATGGGCATATAATCGTCAATAATGGCAGGAGACACTGTGAGCTTGGATCGGCGTATCCGTTGACACAATTATGTAGTTGCTGTGTAAAAGAATCAAGAAAGCTTTTCCTTGTTGTCATAGTAGTCTATGTGTCTTTGTCAGATTTCAAAACATTGTGAATGGAATCAGTCCATGGACATACAATTGTCAATAATGGTGGGAGACACTGTGAGCTTGGATCGGTGTCTCTGTTGACACAATCATCTGGTCGCTGCGTGAAAGAATGAAGAAAGTATTGCCTTGTCGGCATAGTAGTCTATACGTCTTTGTCAGATTTCAAAACATTTTGAATGGAATCAGTCCATGGACATACAATTGTCAATAATGGTGGGAGACACTGTGAGCTTGGATCGGCGTCTCTGTTGACACAATCATTTAATCGCTGAGTGAAAGAATGAAGAAAGCTTTTCCTTGTTGGCATAGTAGTCTATGTGTCTTCGTCAGATTTCAAAACATTGTGAATGGGATCAGCTCACGTTTTAGGTGACTGTCTGCTTCATCTTGTCAAAATCTTCCAAGGAACAAAGTCTCCTGTTTTTTTTTGTGAGCCATTCAGAGAAGACATTGGCATATTGTTGAGTAACTCTTTCTTGCATGGCGTCCAGGGGCTCCAAAGCCAAACATCAGAACTACTGGTTCTTGGTTGGCCTTGAGAGGTCATTTCAAAGATCAAAGAGGCTAATGCGTCCGTATCACTTCAGTTGTCAATATACATACTGTTTTGATGAATGTTATATCAACTTGTCAACTATTTTCTCGCTGTGGGTGATGAATTCATTGGCCGCAAGGTTCACCATCGTGAGCAAAAAATATTAGTGTGTCGTGATGGAAATTTTTTTGTCAGACGATATCCAAAAGGGGGTCAGTACATTTGACACTGTAAATTAATTTATAGTAGCACAACCATCCCTACTATCCCCAAATATAAAAAGCCATCTATGGGGACCTGTTCCCTATGGTTGAGTAAGAAAGTGAACCTTTTTTGCATGTTGGACATATGATTTGGGGCATTTTGATGCCGCACTTTAGATGTGGCAAGACAGTCTTGGAGGTGAAAGGTTGGAATAGGCAGGTTAGGATCTGCAGTTCAGTTTTGACTGTAATGGTAGACTGTACATGTCTAATATTTTTATGGCTAGTTGTGTCTCTAATTCGAAATTTGACTTCATCCAACGTCGGCAATGAAGATTGCATTTTTCATCTATTGGGTAACAACAATTTGAGTTCAGAATTTTATTGGGATAAAAAATTGCATTTCGTGTGGACTATATGATTCCTTTTGATGTTGCAAAAAAAATGGGGTGTGCGTTTACAATTTTATTGTAGGATTTTTGACCAGCAACCCCCAAAGTGGCACTTTTGGTCTCTCTGATGGAAACATCTGCGAAACTTCATTCTGACAGGTACAGTAACAGCATTTGCATCACTACCACTCGAACTCAACGTTGAATCGGTCCCTCAGCCTGTATTCTGTCTGTGCCCTGAGTGTATCCACTCCAAATATCTAGAGCTGCGACTCGTCAGCACAATACATTCTGCTGACTTCGAAGTGCTGTGGCGTTTATATGAGGCTTGGAAATCTATCATACTTCCGGCCCTACAGATTCTAGTCATCATACTTTTGGCCCTACAGATTTTCGTGGTAAAAGGTACTTGTACAAGTAACAGTACGGGATTTCCAGTACAAACAATGGAATCCTACGCACAGGAATCTGACTTGGATCCTTGTACATCAACAGTCACTTTGGGGGGATTTTGAAAACTCGAAATGGTAGATTCTGAAGTTCCGTTTTCAACTGTTTTAGACTTAGTAAGTACTTGTTTGTCCGTCCCCCATAAAAACCTACTTTTGAGCCATCCCCTTTACCACACGGTCCTGTATAGCCGTGGTCAAATTGACCACGAGCCAATCGGGCCGCGTGGTCAAAATGACCACGAGCCAGTAGAGCCGTGGTCAAATTGACCACAAGCCAGTCGAGCTATGTCAATTTGACATGCAGCATGCCGTCCAATCATCGAATAAACCCGCCGCATTTTTACACAAGAGTCATTTCTTAAATATGGAAAAGTGGTCTACTAACAGAAAAAATGGGGAATGATTAAAGAGGACGGGCATGCTTTTTTCCTTTGTCCTTTCTCACCCTCCGCACAACCGTGCCGTGCTATTT